ACGGAATATCCACTCCCCAATTACCAGCAAGATTAATTGCGCTGTTGGCGCAGCTGGGAAACCAACTCCGAAGAAGAAAACGAGGAGAACGAGCGCGTCGCGAGAGCTCGAGTCGAAAGATCGCCAAGGGTGTCAAGGTTAGGCAATTTGGCCGCGGGGTGCGTCCCGGGGATGATTTACTTCCCCGGTAGTCGAGAAACTACCCCCGCGCGCCCGGAACGCCGTCGAAACTATGCTTGGATTCGGGAATGGACTTTGTTGGCTCTGTTGCATTCAATCGCGAACTTGGCCAAACGAGCAAAGCCTTCTGCAAACGATACTTAATCGGAATATATCGCGTCAGGAATTATTCGTGGATCGGTGGTCGTTGAAACGTATAATTCCCTCGTAACTTATCGAAATCTCCAATATTGTAGTTTCGGTTTAATATCTACGATAGTTTATCCGTTTCGCGGGGTTGTTTAATTTCCCTTCCTTTGTAGCAGAAGTGCTCCGTTCGCGGTTTGAAAGTTTCAGCGGAAACGCTCTCGATACCGAGCAATTTCATCCCCTCCGCGTGATCGCAAATGGAATCGCGTTTGATCGGTTGCTCGTTACTTGCATCGCGGCGAGTTATTCCTACGGACATTAATTTATCGCGGAAAAATCAATAACTGCATCGATAAGCAGTACTCGACGAGGCGTGCTGTTCCCGATTCCACGGTCGACGCCAGACGCAGGCATTGTTCCACGTCGAAGAAAAAGTAAAGTACCGAAGAACGGTCTATGTATAGACACCGGCGAGGCGCATTAGAGGGTTAGAGCTACCGAGCGGCTTTTTTTTTAACCCCCACCGGTGTTAACGTGGCTCGAAACCGTGTCAAGGACAATCTCGATCGGTCGACACTTCCGTGACTTAGCGCGCGGCCCATTCGAAGCCACGACCCGGTCGTTCCGGTTGCTCGAGCACTCGGAATCGATGGAGGGACGGAACACGCGCCATTTTCCACGACCCAGCGTCGTCCTTTCGTCTAACTTTTTCGTAAATTTTTGTTCCCGCGTGGCTCGCGTCAAGTCGCGATCTAAGGGAGTCTTCGTTAAAGTCGTTCTTGTCGCGGAAGAGCGCATTTTCCGCTGAAAGCCGGAAGTTCGCGTCTACTCGTCACAAGAGAACCGAATGGCTGGATCCAAGAGCAGAAAGCTGGATAGTCGTGGCTCTGTGTACGCCCGCGTGTGTGACCCTTTTTGCACTCTCCGCGTTTTATGCTGCACAATTGATTTCGTGCATTTCTGTCTCCTCGGAGACGCGGGCAAAGTTCAGTTTTGCGCCACGATCGAACACACTCTGCCCTTTTTCTTGCCGTTTCCGGTTTCAACGGTGCTTCGTCGTGTTTGTCGCCGACTGGGATCGCAGAGATAGCAAACTCGACGATCACGTACGAGTATCGTACTGTTACGATAATATTTCTATGGTTTTTCCATTCGATCGGAATACGAGCGGGGCTGGAATCCGACGATTCGAAGGTGTCGGAGGCGCGCGAATTAATCCGGGTCGGTCATGGTTAATTTCGAAGCCATGGCTCGCCGTATCTGGATTGGATTCCCGTGCCGAGGAACTCTGGGAAGACTGTGGGTAGCGGAAATGGAACTTCCGGATTGTTTCCATCGCGCGGCACTCCCGGCGTTCCGAAGTTGGCGCGTTTTCGAGCTGCCTAGTTCACGATTCAGTCTGGACGAGTCGTACACGCGGCATGGTATCTCGTTAAGCCGCCTCTAATTACCATCGGCGCGGATTAGGATCGATACGAAGTTGCATCTCCGATTCAGTTTGCGTTTCGAATGAAATTAAAACAACCATCCAAGTTCTCCGTTCGGAAATCACGCGCTAGTTGGTCGCGCGCCGGCTCGCTTTGCAAACATTAACGCGTTCGATGCCAGTTTCCCTTGTCTTACGTTTCTGGAAAATCCTATCGAACGTTTAGAGATTTCTACGACGCGTGTACAACGTATCAATCGTTGCGTTAATTTCTAAACTGCCACGCGCGTGATCCCGGCCGATGGAAACCGGATAGTTAATTATTGCAAAGTAATTAACTTTATTAAAATCAGCTTTGCGTTTGCTCTACGTGCAGACTGAATTATTGATTTACGAGCAGTAACTTAACATAGATAATTAATGCAGGATGATAAACGCCAGTGATTAATGGTCTGTCGATCGCACACGTTCTACCAACGGTGTCGTTGGTGAAAAATAATAAAACCGTGAGATCGAGAATAGAATTTTTTGCGATATATTCTAAAGAATTCAGATTTTTATAAAGACTTTTATCGGATACACGAGCTATATAGACCGACAAAAAAAAAAATATTGTTAAAGCAGTATTTAATGAAACTCTGTTCGATGCGCTCAACGTGCAGAATATGTCACGGGTAGCTATCAAACCACCCCCGCCTGGGTAAAATGAGCAGGTCTTAGAGTCCGTATCGATGCGATATAAACTGTAGCCCGGGGACGTTAATAAGTCAATATTGGGAACAGTTAAGCCCGGTTTCAATGAAAATAATTACGTCATAGCACACATAGGAGACACAGGGAGACACTGCAAATCGACCACCTTCCTTCTCGTATCGCGAACACCACCACGAGCCAAAAATATGAATATTTATCTCGTTACAGTTCTTGTAATCCAATTACTTGGATTATCGTATCTGCAAACTGCTATCGTCTAAATTATTTTGCGTTTCTAATTTCGAGAACAGCATCGTAGGAAACGGTGGTCCTTAAACTACAAATTCGACTTATTAGGAGCAAACGAATCCGGAGTTTTCGAGGAGGAGCAAATCCCTTTGTCCGTCTGCTTGCACACCAATCACGGAAACTAACAAGAGAAACATTCTCGATTCCGAACAACAAACAGCGATCCCTTTTCGAAGGGTTCGAACCGTTAAAGTCGAGGACTTCTCCGGGCGGAATTCGCAGTTTCTCGACGCTTCCGGTTCCGGTTATCAGCCAATGAAACGTCCCATGACTCGCCCTTGAGCAAATAGCGGCTGAAACGACGACGAAGATGCGGCACGACGAAATAAAAAATTGGAATTTCGGGGCGTCGATCGAAAGCAATCTGACCAGCGCGTGCAACTTGCGTCATGCAAGGATATAGATGTAACCGTGGTGGGGCGAGAGGGGTAGTAGGCGGTCGGGGGTTGGACGACGCTGGGGTTGATGTCGATTCCGTATATATAACGCGACCGAGCGATTGTTCGGTGCGATTGAAATCACGCGAAGCTTTACTTAACGGCGAACTTGTGGATTTCGAGAACACGGATATATTCCCCGCCCTTCGGCTCCCCCGGCGGCCTTATCTACCCCCCTGCTACCCCTTAATGGCGCTGGGGATGTTCCTACTGCCGGGGAGCCTCTCTAATCGAAATTCTCCGGCAACGTTCGAACGAGAATCTTGCGTAATTTCGCGTGAAATATCGTTGGGTTGAAAAAATGTTGGATCCAAAGAAAGGAGGAGATTAAATCTTTTGGCGATCATAGAACATGCATATACGAACGAATAAGTTTGTAAAAAAGGGCATTGTCCGTTAAACATTTAACGTATTTTGGGGTAGGTTCGATACGACCTTAGATCGTCGGAAGGTCGACCGTAGCGGAAATTCTCGGTTGGATCTTTATTTCGGGGGGTTCGTGTGACATTTCCAGCCCTCCGCTTCAAATAGAAGCCTCGTTTCCACGAAAGGGAAACGCGCCCGTTTCGATTCGCGAGTTGGAAAATAAACGGTATTATAAATGGGAGTGATCTCGCGACGCGATCGTCCGTACCGATGATATTATAAGCGGCGGTATTGTATCGCGATGATTATCGTCCGCGACACGCGATTCCTTTTCATTTCGCTTTTTATTACCGCGAACGGTCGGTTTGTTCGCCGTCGGGCCACGGCAGGTCGTTCGATGTGCATTTATTCGAGCGTGCCGTACGTAACGGCGAATCGAGCGCAAAGTCAGGGGAATGACGAACGGCCGCGGATCCCCTAACCACCTAACCGAACGAATAATAGACCAGAGGAACGGAGAAATTTTATTGCCGTTGCTGGAGGACGCGCGAACGCGTGGAATTCGCGTTACGGACCGTAAGTTTTGAGAGACCGTTCTCCCGGTGATCCGGAAACTGATTGTTTCACGGAAACTCTCGCAAACTTTAAATCGAATTACGCTTTTTAAACAAGCAAAATTGCCTCGCGATTATTTATTCGTTTCGTTGGAACAGCCCTTCCAGTATCGTTCTCGTTCTCGTTCTCGTTTGCGTCATCCTGACGTCTCTTTTTTAATCTTCGTTACAATTTTTGAAACTTCTCGACGATCCTCCGCGTTCAAACGGTTAACCCAGATAAAACACGCGGTCCTAGGACGGCAATTACTTAGACGCGAACGCAGTTAAATTGCAATTATAGCTGTTTACCGAAAGAGCCCGGGGTCTGTTTGGCGCGATAAATAGTTGCCCGACGGAATTTATAACGCATCGTATCGGTTCCGGATCTTTGACGATTGCCAAACAGTGGGGGTTGAAATATGGCGTCGCTAAAGTCGAAGGTCGCGGTTGGTTCTCCCTGCGAAGGATGGAGATCGCAAAGCACGATAAGGGCGTTGTTGATCTTTGAAATGGATCGAGCAGGGCCGCGCGGATATCGGCCGACGCGTGTTTGGCTTTTATTTATAGTTCATCGTTGCATCCCGGGCTGCGAAACGGCACCAAAGAGGCTCGCTGATGAAAAAAATCGTTGTTAAATAGAGAGAGACGACGATACGTCGAGATTCGAACGGCGTGAAATCGAGGCATCGATTTTCTAAATGAAATTTTCCCCCCGAGAATCCCCGGCTACGGTTTCGATCGAAACGACGGGACAGGGATACGCGCCGAAGCCGTTTTTCTTGTTCACTTTTCCGAGGCAACGATTCGAGGCGCGAGAAATTCGAGTTCCCTCGTTAAAAACTTGTTTACGATCGCTTGTTTCAGTTTACGAGCTTTTACGCGAACTCGGGGGCTATCTACCCCCGAAGAGCATCGCGCCAGCCGACATTACGCCGCTGGTCTCGAGGCTGTTGAGGGTGAACGGCGCGCCGCTCTTCGACTTCTACGTGGACGTGGATCTTTACGATCGCACCAGGTCGTCCGTCTTTCTGGATCTGCCTACGAAGCATCAGGAAAACGCGTTCTTCGCGGAGAACCTGGTGAGTGTTGCAAACCCATTCCGACTTTCACTGTCGCGGCAAATCCTGTTATGGCACTCGCGGATCATAGGTTTTAGTTACAACAGGCTTTACGGCCGGACCCGTGCCCGTAACTCTTGTTACAGCTCCAGGCGTTTGGTCTGCCGCGGCTGCGTTTTATCGGTCGCCGCAACAGAATCCAGTAAATCTTTAAAACGCCACGAGTAAGGCCTGTTCGTTGATTTCTCCAAGAATTAACGAGCAGGATTACCGCTATCGAGACTTTAGGGGATGAATATTTCTCATCTAATAGATAGCGCGTTTAAAGCGAGACACGTCGGTTAATTCCTCGAGAAAACCTGCGGCAGGGTCCGACGCGCGTACAAATCCTACTCGCGGTCGAAACCGTCTGTAAACTTCATCCGTCCGTTACCGTACACTCGCTTTCGGTCAGATTTTTTTCCGCTCGCATCGCCTACACTCGCGACCCAGCAAAAACATCTTCATTATTCATACGGACCGCTTAATACCGGGCTTATCGACGATTCGTGGGCTTAAGCCAGCGCACATGGTGCGTCGGAAATCGATGAAAGGGTACGCTCGACGTCGATTCTCCCCGATTGGAAACGCATTCGACTTTCGTTTAAACACCGCGACAAACGGGGATTTAATTGGTCCCGTTCGTAAGCTTTTGCTACGCTGGACTTTTTTTTATTTCAAAAACTAATCACGCTTTCACATTATCGAGGGATCATTGTACCTTGCTCCAAAGTTTTCCTTTTGTTATTCTTTTATTCGTTACTCGAGATAACTTTTCGCTCCAACGCGTCTCGAAGGGATAAATAATAAAGGCCACGTTATCTTGACTCCCCCCTGGCGACGTTATTCATGCTTTCAAAAGTTACGGGAGAAAGTATCGATTCGCCGGGAAGAAAGGATCTAAACACATTCTATATGTTCGCAACTTTTCAGCCGAGAGATGGAAGTTCGATTCTCGGTTGCGAGTATCGACGCGTTTCGAGGAGAAGAACGTGCCCGGCATTAATTATTCCCCTCGTTCTTTTAACCATTCCCGACCGCCATCACGTTTCACGATGATCGTGTTCGGTGAACTCGCGGTCCTCTCCAGCTTCCGTCGACGAGTTTCAAGCGGACAGGATCCATAATTTATGGCGGTGATCGAACCTTCTCGTTACGCTTCGATTTACGCGTAGGGATTCCCTGAGTGTTTCGCTTCCCCTCGAAGGTTCGTTAACCCGTAGAGCGGAACGAAGGGCCATCCGGTCGAAAAACGCGGCACATTTGAAACGGGTGCTCGAAGGTAGACGTCGCCGGCCAATTTAACGAGGAAATTTTCGTCGAACGACGACCGGAATCGGATTAACCAGTGAATTTTGGATGCTAATTACAAGGCCGACGGGGCAAGATTGCACCGACGACGGATAGCTTATTGGGCTGAAACGAGGACGACGCTTTCAGATTAAAGAGTGTCGGCTGATTGGCGCGGGCGCGATCAAGTTACTCGTTAGTGTCTCACGATATTTCCCCGAATGATCGACAAGTATAATAATACGGCGCTTCGAATACAGACGTTTGATTACCTGATACAGGAAACCTCTAATCGAAAAGAAGATATCTGATCATGTCTCTTACTTTCGACGAAGGCTGTTATTATTATTGATTTATTCGCTGGAAAAAGTATTTGCTAGAAAAAGGAAGCGATACGTAAGGAAAAACAATTTTGTTCGAAAGGGTGAATACGGCGACAGTAAAATATGTTGGAGAAAAAAGCACGGTGCTTCCTTCGGAAGAAATATCGGTGAACTTGAAAACTCTGACCAGGTTTTGCCCGTTTCGTCGAAGGCGAAGGAGAAAATTGTGTGTGCCCGTTTCTGCGGGGACACTGTGCTCAGCCTTCGGAGCCCGATTTGTTTAAAATTGATTCGCGTACAGCAAGGGCGCAGGAATTTCAAAGAACGGTTCTCGGAGAATCGGAGGCTCGAGACGCTTCGAGTGTGTCTTTGAATGCTCCTTCGTCGAGTCGAGGGTTTTTGAGTAGTTTTCCTGCCGAGCGTTCTAAACAAGGCCTTGATCTTCGATCGACGAGCCAGTTCACGAGCTTGTCTCCTTCAGAACTTTACAGCGTCGAGAGCAAATTGACCACGAGTCCAAGATACGCTCGCAAAACCTTTCAAAGGGAGGGTTCGAGGAGCTGCTACCTTAAATTCTTTAATTTCTTTTAAACGATTATGCTTTCTCTTGTAGGATTTTCTCATTCTATGCTCCTTGTAGGATTTTGCAACGGCAAGATTCTCGCCATTGAATTTGACAGCAGCGATTAAACTTGCGCAATTTAAATTTCGCGCGGGGAATATTTCTTTTCGGTCGGAGCGGTCCGTGTCGCGGGAAGACGCGCGTACAGGGAATTAATTACGGGGTCAAGAATTAGAGCGCGCCTTCTATTAGCCTCGGGGATAATTCTTTAGCCGACGGAACTTTTTAATAAAAGCCGAGGGGAGACGGTTAAGGGTTGAAAGGATCCGTTCAGACAATTGCTCGAAGCGCCATCGCCTCGTTACGGAGGTGTCCCGCTGGATGTACGCGTTCCCGTGTCGACGCGTGTTCCCTCTTTGTCCGGACGGTTCCTTGCGATTGTGATAAGAGCGTAAGGCCGAGAGGATTTTAATACTTAAGCTCGACAAAAGAGTCTCCGTCGTGACGGCACTTTAACTCGTCTGTTGGCAAACCGGTCGGAGATTAAACATTGACGAAACGTCCCCCTCGCCAGGGACTAAAAAGTTCCACTCTTCTCCCTTTTCGTACTAAAGGGTTTTCTCCGGCGAATAAATGAATAACGATAACAACGAACGACACGCGTAACGATTATCAAATTCCGTGAAGAGTTACCAGGCTCGTAGTTTATTTTCGAGCTCACGCGAGAACTCGATTCCCTGTCCAAACACATCGAATCGAACGTTAGTTCGGCACGAAGGGGCTCGCTTGAAAATTCAAACAGCTCGCCTCGTTTTCGTAACTAATAATCGCAAGGAGCGTGCCAACTTGTTTCACGGATCGTCGGCCGGCGACTTCCGGCGCTTCCGGTGCAGTAGTCGCGGGATCTTGGAAAGCGTGAACGTGTTATTTGCGCGAAAGGAAAACGTTTAACGGAAGAATCGACGCCGCCGGCGACGGTGATAAATTTTATTCGAGTACCGAGCGCGCCAAGTGGACGAGAAACAGAAGTCACGACAAATATTTAGATACACCGGACGCGCACATTCGCAAATAGATTCGAGGCGGAATACCCGAAGCTATATTCCCGGTAAAAAGGCGCCCCTTCGCCGAGTCTATATGCACGGGGAAAGGAATTGAAAAACTCGCGTGCTTCTTCGGCGATCGATAAGAAATTCGAAGGCGTCGATTTTCCCCGATCTTTCGACGAACGCTTCCGTTATTTCCGCTACGCCGTTCCCGATCTTATTACGTACGCGGACGCGTACTCGTTTCGATTAAAAATTTTAAAGATTTATTTGAGTTTTCTATTTTACGGACAGAGTCAATGGTCTTGGACGTGTCGTGTTTTGGGGATTGTTAAGACCTGGACAAGAGTCTCGGTGGAATCGTTTTCCCCGGAGATTGAATGTAATATTTCCGACGATTCGAGGCAGCCATAGAAGCGCGGCACACGGTTGCAGAGAAAGCGATACGAGGAACGATAAGCTTAGCACGAAAAGTACCATAAATCGTGGAACGGCGGCGCGGCGCGCGAAACTCGGTCAGTGCCGGGAAGCCGGAAGGCTGAAAACGAAGAGGAAGTCGGCTGGCGTTTGCTGGACGCTGGGATACAAGAAACAGGATAGGGACGCGTTGGATAGAGCAGACAGAAGGATAGGAGGACAGACTGGAGCCAGGAATTTTAGGCGAAAGTCGAGAAGTAGTCGAGTTTGCTTGGCAGACCGCCAGAATCCGCAGCTGACACCGTACAACTATCTCACTAATTTTCTGTCTTTCCATCGCGACTTGACCTTGCCATTCTTTCACACACTCCTGATCATCTTACTTTCTTCCAAAATACTGTTATCAAGATGCTGCGAACGATTTATGGCAAGAGAAACACACACATGGTTAGTAGTAAACGGTTCCTCGAGACCCTCGGTTTACGATTATCGATCATCGGTTTAATATTCGTATTTATAAACGTCTAACATTCGCGTGTGCATACAGTCGTCTTGCTCTTATTGTTAGTGCACCGTGTCCATGAGAAACGTAGCACGCATATACGCTAAACTGCAGCAAACATGGATTATTCACGCAATAACGCAGCTCGCGATAATTATTTTGCCTTTGCAAAGGTTGCCTTTTACGCCACACGGTCGCGGGAAATCTCAGCGATTCATAAATTCGCTAAATTAAATGTATCGCGTCGTTAACGGCCAACAGGAATTAATCCTCGAAACGCAAATACGAACGATGGTGATGATCCAGAAAAAGTAATGCGATTAATTGGATCAGAGGAGCCGTAACGAGATAAAGGCCTCGCGTTGTAAAATGCACGTAATCTCCCGTACGGTCTTGCTGGAACATAAAATTTAATTAATTCGAAAATGGGTGCGCGCCTGATCAAGCCATTCATTATTTCGAATAAGAATGTGAGGTCAGCTACTAATCTACGCTTCCTCGAGGATTTTTGAATCGAGGTCAAAGGATATCGAGTCATGGTCAGCATCAGACACAGGACGACGCGTTTTATATTCGTCTCGGTTAGCCGTTTCTAAGGAAAACTTTGCGCCCGGAATTAAACGTCTTCGCGATCGAGACGCGAATTTATGCGAAACTTTCCTTCCTACCGGACAGAATTTTAATTATATCGCTGTTGCGGCTCGTGCACGTCTTCGTGCACGGATTACACGGACGCGACGTGTACCGTTTCGTGCGAACGTTCCATTTCGTAACGCGGGGGTATCGTTTCATTATGCTAACGAAGCATCGATTATGATAATGCACGGAACCGATTGAATTGCGTAGAATTACTATTACGACGGGCATGAAATGCAGCCGCCCTTGCACGCGCCGTTATCGTGTTGCCTTCGAGGATCTTCGTAACTACATAACGCGACGGTAATTGAAATTAACATGTAAAGCGTCGGACAATTAACAGCTACACTGCGGCTCGAGGGTCGTCTTTGACCCACGAATTTCAGCAGGTTTTACGCGTTGCGATTAATATACCTCGTTAACAATTTCCTGCGTGGTTCTGTTACTCGATCTCCATGATTAATGGGATGCTCGCGGCCAGGTTGGTTCGATGTACCTTGCGTTTACGTTACGAATCATTAACAAAATCGATCCTCCTGCACTAATTGATACCGCGATCGTTCGCTGCGAGCCCATCGTTGGCGCTCCTTGAGTAACCATGAACAACTAACGCTACAAACAGCAGCGTAAACAGCACGAGGATCACGATATGCTCCATTTTCTTTCTCGCGTGAATTTTCGGGTGAAAGGTGGCCGGTTGAACGGGACCGCGATAAAGAAGGAAAATTAGCTCGGTTAACTTTTTGCCGAGCAATCGAGTCTCGTCGGGGCGGCGACGCGCGACCCTGCGACGCGAAATCCGCTCGATTTTAAGAGGCTCGCGTAAGCGGGTTTTTCTGCACACGGTAAAACGCGCGGATGCGTGCAAATATACGCGGCGTTAAAAGGGACGCCTGTGTGTAACGCGCGGCTCGATACTTGGCACCCTCCACCCTTGTTTGCCAAATCGTTACACGCTTACCCATTTTAACGCGTTTCTCCGCCTGCCTGCAGACATTTTTATCGTCCATTTCGGCGGGACCGAACGTTTAACGTTCAATTTTATTTCCTCGAGGGGCTACGGACACGCTGAAATTTCGAAACAATCGAAATTTTTGTGGTCGCTCGAACGGTAGTTTCGCGTCGTGAAAACTGCGGAAGACATATTGTAATTCACTGCCGTATCGCGTTGCAGACCGAAGGACTACGATGGGTGAAGACGTACTCGATGATGGAGAAACGACAGCAGAGATCGGTTCACGAGGAAAGTCGTGCTTACACAGTGATCAAGGTATGTTTCGTTATTTTTTTTTTTTTTTATTTGTTTATTGTACGGGTAAAGCTGATGTTTATTTTTCTTTCTTTTTCCGAGCGGAGTTGTGTCACGAGAAGCATAGATCCGGGAATTTTGCAAACCGTTTATGCCGGGACTTTGGACGTTTGCCCCGAAAGGGTCGAAAGCGATTCCGCTTGATTTCTTTTGGCAGAAGCAAGCCATGCGCGTCCAGAAATTGCTGCGTACCGGGATCCGAAATGGTCGAAAATTCTGGAAGACATTATTCTTCGGGGTAAATTGAGAGGACAATCGTCCGAGAGCAGATTTTTCTAAAACCCCGGGAGAAGTATTTCGGCCGCGACCTCGGTCGTATTTTTCGAAACCTCGCGACGCAGCGTAGCCGTAATATATCACGCTATCAACGTGGTCGAACGAACGGTCGCGGTGCCGTCTACGTGCCGCGATTTTTACGGAATTGCTCGATAACGCGTTCCGTTTCCGCCTCGCAAAGACGTCCACACCGCGCGCCGGAAACCCACCTTGCTAATAAACGAAATCCTTCTCTTGCAATTCGACTCCGTTTCGGTTATTGCCTCGCATCACCAGACTTTGAGGAAATATTGCTCGATTCTAATTTAAACTCTTGTACCGTGAGTCCCGCGGTTTCCCACAGTCAACGGCAAGTGTTTATTTAGCCTCGCGAGATATTGTCAGTGGAGATTTAAAATTACCTCGCGAACGAAACACCTATTCGGTGAAATCTCCCGGAATAATAGAGACAGGGAAAAGGAAAACCGGGAATTTGAATCTACAGTTAAAAAATGTAAACTAGGTTACGAGGGTTTAACGTCGAGCGCAAACTACGTCACCTTTTCTAAATTGATCCGTAAAATTCCGTGCATTACAGCGCGAATCCCTGAAACAGAGACGTTCGAAAGCTATTCGGTCCTAAGTCTCGTAACTTTGGAAGACAATATCGCCCGAACGAGGCGTTTGCGAGTATAATTCCGGAGCCAAAGTTTATTCCCTTCGAGGTTCTTCCATAAATCTGAAACACTCAGTGTATTTAATTGTTACCGAAGTCGCCGGTCTTGGAAATCGTTCGAAACGACGCTTCGACGCTATCTATGCAAAGTCTCGTCAAAATTGGCGTGGTCGGACGACGCTGTTCATTAGAAACGTACACGCCGCAGCATCGGCGTAAGAAGATACTGCTCTTCCACGTATAACTAGTGAAATTGATCTCAAAGGAGGTTACATTAACTTGTAATAGAGACGACGTGGTCGCGTCATAGCGCACAGAACGTCAAAAGGGCAGTACATCCCTGATATATCGACGCTCGAAACGGAAAGCCAGGTTCCTATTCCAAATAATCCTATTCTTAATATTTCTATTTCAAATAATTTTAATGGGAGATTCTAGAAGCCAAAATGAGACGAAAATCGAGAATACCAATCTGTCGATCGAGGTTCCATTACTCACTCAGTGCCTGGTACCTAGTGCGAAATTTTAAAATTTCAAATCATTCTAAAAAAATTATTTTTAGTTTCAGGGGTCAGTTACAATCATTTTTGGTCATTACATATACCCGCGAATTCCTACTCACTTTCGAGAAAAAAATTCGAGTAGGTGCCTAAATTTTTCGGTGAAAAAATGAATTTCGAATCGTTCTGAAAAAATTATTTTCGGTTCCGGGGGTCAATTACAATCATCTTTGGTGAATACACATACTCTTGAAATCTCACGTACTTTCGAGAAAAAAAATATTCTTTACCGAAAATATACCGTGTGGCCAGAGATGTTTCGAGGTCGTCTCGAGAGAATCGCGGATAGCAATGAAATTTAATACAGTTAAAATATTAACTCGAAAGATACGGAGTTCCGGTATTCCCTTAACAAGCTGTCGCGATTTCCATACGGGAACACGCGTCGCCATGTGGATCGAACGTCAGCCAGTGTCGGGGATCGAACGAACGGGGATGACGAGAAAACGAAAACGACGGATTCTCTCGGTGGCCCGAAATCCATCCGGGACTGGAATCGTCGATGCAGATTTTTCTCATTTTCCGCTGCTATGTAAATGCGTCCCAGGGAAGCCCTGGACGATCTCCGGCGCTCGAGACGCCTCGCGTCGCGTCGGGGACACACTTGACCCACTTGTCAATCCGTCGAAATCTCAATCTCGATATTAACCGCGATCGCGGACGATTCGATCGAGAAATATTCGCGGAATGCCGGCGCTGCGTGATCGATGGTACCTCGGGAACCGTAATTAGGTTGGCCACGCTGTCGAATAAACCCACCCGCGCTGGATCCTCGTCGTTATCTCTGGTTATTTAACCGCGGTATCGCCGCACCGTGGAAAAGAACCGTCGTAAAATTGAAACGGAACTCTGACACCGTTCCACCTTGCACGCTGCTTCGTTAGCCGCATCGATTGCCAACATTTTTACGAGATACGCCAAGGCACTATGAAACTGCGAAAGTTACTGGATCCCGAACGAGGATTATTGCGCTGGAGTGTCTCGTACTTTGATTTTTTACAGTCGTTCACCGTAGGGCCATTCGGAAAGCATAAAAAAAAATTAGGAATTCTCTCGGTATCTATGCACGTTTTATTTTTCACGCGAGAACGAATGGATTCGACATTTAACGCGATAACTAACGAGCAAAATTAAAAATAAAAAATATCGATACGTGAATTTTAAGGTAATTGATTAAACCATTTTCCAGTCGCCCAAAAACGTTGCCTTGGTATGCCTGACCATTACCCACTGTTTCTACTGATTCAGTTCGTCAAAATTCAAAGTTTATATTTGATCTATGGAAAGAATATGTTCAAGGCACCCGAGAACAAGCGTAAAATTTTATTAGCGAAGACTGGTAGCTAGAAATTCGCCGAATAAAAGTGTTCCGTGTTTCCAGAGTCTTGTATTCCCTTGACTGGGATCCTCTTTTTCTTTCCCTGCACATTGCGAGTTGATTACCGCAGGATCGACTCCTTGTCGCGTTGTTTTTCCCCCGTTTTGCATGGTACCGCTGATGGATCGTCGACGAAGCGGCGAAAAGCGGTTCGGAAATAACTGCGAAGCGTGTAACGAGAGAACTCGAGGCGACGAGCAGGAAATTTTACGCGAAATACGACGCTGGGAAAACGATCGATCGAACAAATTCGCGTAAGAGAGTTATCGCGACGCTCGGAAAAAATATACCGTAATAAAACATACGCGGCGGCGGATTCTGCAGGGACGAGCCGGTGCCGCGTCGAGATACGTCTTTTGTATGAAATAAAGCGCGACGCGGAGTCCTTAATTCAGAGTCCAAAAGCAAAAATACGATGCGGGACGATCGTTTTAAATCATACGACTTGTTTCGAACGGTGAATTACTCGTCGCTGCATCGATTCTTGCGGCTTTAAAGTCGTTTATCTTTTTTAAGCCATCGCACGATTCCCTAAGAAAGCTTATTTTACGGAACGTAAATTACGTCGGTCCATGGTCCGGAAAGGAGCTATAATTGGTGTGCTCGTAGCTTCGCGTTAAAGCAGATCGGTTTTGAAATATGTCCAAGACGCGAGAAGAGACGATACTTGAAATATTTTCGATATTTTTAGAGCTCTAAAACAACTGCAGAATTGCCCCGCTGCCTCGGGACAATCCCTACGAACGTTTGTTTTTCCAAATTCTTCTGTGCGGGTTTCAAACGTGTGCAAAGAAATATTTTGAAACGCTACTCGATAAATTCTTGGTCACGTTCAAAGGGCATTTACCGTCGACAGAGGCGGAAGTTCGCGCGACACGCTAAAAGTTGGATGCAGTTTACGTTGGCCCGATGAACGGTTTTGTTATTGCCTGGCTGCGCGTACACGCGAGTTTCTCTGCGAGCAAGCTTGTCCACCGTCGTTTCGTCGGTCGTGCGTATATAATTTTGCAATCGATTCTGCAACGCCGTTCTAAAACGTAGAAACGGTCGTCCGCGCTATACTCAAGATCAATCTATCGAACGAAAAGAGACAGAGTCTTGAAAGTGGAGTAAATAAAATTCGGGAGCCGAACATCGTCTCGAATTGGCTTGTCACGATATACTGCAATGCTCTTAAGACCATCAGGGTTGAAAAGAAACGGGACAATCCCTCCTCGACTTGTTCGGATCACCTTGCCATCCGAAATGGATGTCCTGGCGATCCTCCGTAATAAAGGGAGATAGATTGGTTCTGCGAAGATTTTTCGAGGTTGCACCCCCAACCGAGAGGGGCAGTATCGACTAAACAATTCGTTATATCGGTGGTATTCCAAAAGTATTTGATAATAATTCCTCGCTCGGGAGAAAATCCGGCCGACAACCCTTTGATACACCATCGGAAATTTACTAAATTTTATCCACGTTGTCTGTTACAAATTTCTCTTTTCGCTTTGCAACCTCATCGATTCGTTTGAACTCTGTGATCTCCGCGGAAATGTAATTCATGACTTTCTTTCTCCTCGCTTTTATACTTCTTCTTGTACCCTAGCTCGTTTCCCTTTATTTTATCCTATTTCTCTAACCTCTCTCGTATCAAACAGTATACGATTCGTGAAATATACAGAACGTTCATCAGCAACGAAATAAACAAGCGCGCCACAAATAAATGTGTCATTTCAGGGGAATATAAACCATCCCGGTACTCGATATTTTAATTTAGAGTTGTTGGGAGAGCGTAGATAAATTCGGCAAACAACGGGATAACAAGCGTTATCGTGTTTGCGAGTCGTCGCGAATTTTTCGAGCGGTCGAATTGAAATTTATCGCGAGTACGGGGACGTTGATTTATATTCAGGGTGGTCTCGAGACCGGGAAACCAGGAAGCGAATTAAGACGGAGGGCTGGTAGCGATCCGGGAGCACCGGGGATTCTTTCGTTCGTGGGTTGTTTTGCTCGTCCCGGTCGCGACGAGATCGAACCGCCTCGGTAACGGAGTTCGCTTTATCGCGCGTGATTTCCGCCGACGCGGGTTCGCGGCAGCCTCGAGAATCTC